TTCCCTGGAGACACCTATATTACAAGTTGAGAAATGCTTCCAAAATAATCTGTGCTTACAGGATGTATGTTACATCAACAGTAGCCCACAAAATATTTTGAAACTTGCAATTTTCCCTTAGAAATATACTTTGAAGATTGTTCTGTATTAGTACATAAGGAGTTCCCTTGTTTACTTTTCTGCTGCACAATGTTTTATTGAGTGGGTGTAGCATAATTTATTGAGCTGGTCTCCTATTAAGGTTGTTTCCAATACATTATTTGGCAGTACAAACAATGATGCAATGAATAATCTTTACATCGGTGGCTTTGCACATGGGCTGGTCCCCCTGGGGGACATATTCCTGAAAGTGGAACTGCTGGGTCAAATAGTGCATTTGTAATTGTGGGAGACATTGGCAAACTGTTCTCCATGAAGGTCATTCATACTGAATTTTAGCAATGTATGACAGTCTGTGACCTCACTAAAGGTGTTTTTAAAACCTTTCAACTTTGCTAATCTGATAGGTGAAATTTGATATTTTAGTGAGTTACTATTATAGTTTTTAAAATTTTCTTATCAATTTGAGTTCTATGAACTCAATCTATGAACATCCATATTGTCTCTTGTTTGTTTCTTGATAATTGAATGACATTTCATTGTATGGAGATCATCTTTACTCAATCAGTCTCATGTTGGTGGAACTTAGTGCATATTTGTTTTGTTTTGTTTTTGCCATGTTTAAAAAAAAAACAAGTGGTAAGTTTCAGAGACTTAAATGGCAACTAAAACTCTGGTAGGGTCACAGGTGTTAGAAGAGGTCAGTATTAAAACAGGTGAAATTGGCGGAGGCTGTCCTAACCTCCCTTTCTCCCCACCCTCTTCAGGCATCTAGGGCTGTTAACCCTTATCAAACAGGTCCCTGAATACATGTGTCTGCCATTCACAACCCATATAGATGAACATATGCGTCTCTCCATGGTATGAAATATGAAGAAACCAAAAAGACAGGGATTTAGAAAACCAGGAGGAACCTTATAATTTGTCTAGTTCAAGATTTTATTTTATATAAGTTTGGGAACTGAGGCCCAGAAGCGTTGAGTAACTTTCTTAAAGTCACACAGAGAGTAAGTGGAGGCATGGGAAAAGAACCCAGATAACCTGACGCTGAGCCTGTTGACTAAATCATACTGTGCTCAAGGGTCCACTTCTTCTTTTGGCCCAGTGTTATTTCAAAAATTAAAAGCAACCAGAGAAACGTAGGCTTAAAAAACAAGTGAATGGTATTCAAAATTTGTGAAGCAAGCAAGGTATGTGAGACACTTCTCTGCTGGTTAGGAAAACCTTACAGCTGTGCAGTCCAGTGAGACAGCATTCCAAATCTCTTTCGTTTTTGTCTACTCTTAACAACCTACATTTATTAATGACAATGATACTCTACGCTCACAGCAAATAGTAAACAGCAATCTTATGGGTTGGTGGCTGGCAATTCCTGGTCCACATGCCAAAGATGCTGGAAGTGCCAATTTCAGGTGGCAAGTGAACTGACTACCACACACAGATCCCATTCCTATCATTTCCAGTGGTTGTTTCCCACAGTTGTCTCCACCCTCTTGTCAGAGTTTTTCAGAGCGACATCCTCAGGGCTTCCCATCTGATGGCTCCAGCATCATCCTGGTCTTTTAGAATCACAGGGTCAGTAATATGGCACACTCCTTTGGGAAGATAATGGGTCATCGAACCCCTGATAAAAGTAAATAAACATTCTCAGGACTTTAATTTAGAGGAAGGTGAAAATTATCATCTGTGGTTCAATTTCTGCTGAACTATCACCCACGAAGGATTTAAGGAAGACCAGAAATGAGAAGGTAGGTTAACAATGAAAATTTGGAAATGAGACCAATAAATCGTGTCCTTTAGTTTTTCAGCAGGGTTTTGGTGAGCACTCACTGTGCACTAGGAAGGCCTGGTGTTGAGGATAAAAAGATGAACCAATTCTTGTCTTTTCCCTTGTAGAAAAGATGGTATATGATTGAGATATATGCTGTAAATTTTGAGTTAAAAAGTATAAGCTGTTAGAAACCAGGAACAAAACATCTTGTTTTCCTACTGGGTGGGCTAGGGCCAGGTTCAGTGGAAGAGAGGGTCACCATGGAACCTTTGCCAGCTGACTCACAGAGGGGCTCTGAGTGTGGGTTGCAGCTCAGGCTCCTATCAGGTTGTCCCCTCTAAGGCCAAATGGCCTCCTGTGCCTCCGGAGGGGACATGGGACAAACCTAAACCAGGAGGGAAAAGGTTTGGGTGACCTATAAGCACCCATACTCTTCCTGTGTAAAGGGCAGTCTTGGTCCCAAATCAGAAAGTATAGTGACCCAACAGGATTAAAATAGTTTGAATGATGGTAATAATAATAGCATTTTCTTACATTTGCATAGCACTTTTATTTTTTGAGACAGGGGTTGGCTCTGTCACCAATGCTGGAATGTGACATGACCATACCTCACTACAACCTGGAACTCCCAGGCTCAGCCTCCCTGGTAGCTGGGACTATAGGTGTGGGCCACCATGCCTGGCTAACTTTTTTTGCTTTTTGTACAGACAAGGTGTCTAACTATTGCCCAGGTTGGTCTCAAACTCTTTGCCTCCAGTAAAGAGGGATTACATACAGGGTGCACTCTGCATAGTACTTTGAAGTCTTCAAAACGTGTGCACTTGCACCTCTCCTCTGAAGGCAAGTGGCTCTCATATGCATACTTTGTGAATGGTGGACTAAGACTCAGGCAGTTTAAGGGACTTCTCTGGAAAGAACATAGCTAGCTAGTGGTAGACCTGGGTCAGGGCCCAGATCACTCAGTACAAATCCTACGTGTTTAAGGACAGCATCTTGGGCTTCCCGGACACTTAGGCCTACCCTAACAGAGCTTTGCACACAGAGTTTAGGATCCTCACAGGTGATGCCCTGAGCATGGTTTCTGCCTCCCTTGATTTTCTGCTGCAACTTGTACCAAAGTAGCTTTCTTCCCTTGTCTTGCCACTTGAATGCAGCCCTCCAAATGTTGTGATGCAACATGCAGCCTCTGCAGTGAAACTAAATAAGCATTTAAAGACTGTGTTAGGATATAGTGGATTTATGAACGATATAATCCACTTTGGATACGAGAACACCCACTGATGCTCTTCAACTGGTGAGCCATCAATCTAAAACTAAAACGTTAACTTCTTTCTTCCATTCTGTCTCACTGTCCTGCCAGTCAAGAGGCTCCTTCATCCCTGATCCCTGGGGTCACTGTCCTCTGTTGCGACCTCATCCTCATTTCCACACTCAAGCATGACATCAAGCTGTATTACACCTTTCAGCACTTTTCTGTTTTGAGCCCAATGCCCGTCTTTGGCTACATATTGAAAATTCCTTTTCATTTCTCCTCCTCTTCCTTCTTCTCCTTCTGGAACTGATCATGTGAATTTTTATATGGTGGTTATGATTATGGGTTTAGCACTCATATTGCCCAAGTTTGATTCTGGAGTAGGTACTAATTAGCTGGGGGTATTGGTTAAATTATGTAATTTCTCTATAGCTCTGTTTTCTCATCTAAAATCTGTAATAGAGACTATAAATAGTCTCTATTTATAAGGTTGTTATGAGGATTTAAAAAGTTGTTTAGAACGGTGCCTCACCAAGTACTCAAATGGGGGTGTGTGTGTAAATGTGCACAAACAGGTGAGTGTAGCATTTGAAACTAGAGATGTCATTCTGGGTCCTACCGGTAACCCAGCAAGGACCACATTCAGTTTTAAACTAGGTCTCTAATCTTGGTGAGAACAGTCTTCATCCCCGCCCTCTGTGTTTTGTGTTCTTCTAAAACTCTTAATCTCCTTTGCAACCATGCCCAGAAGACTTGTTGAACAGGATGAGAATTTTTCCATAAATAACACCTGGTTCTCCTGGCCTCCTCATCATGTGTATTAATATTAGGATGAGGAGAAACCTGCATTCACCTACCATATCATATGCTAGGATAAGTTAGACTTATTCTTAATTTAGTAACATTGATAATAATGTTCTGTGTTGTCCTAGTTAAGTAGAGGAGGCTTGAGAGTCAGATTGTTTGGGTCTAAGTCTAACCTTTTCCATTTGCTTAATGATTGCATCCATAAAAATGGTGTGATAATGGGGAATGGATTGCTACAATGACAAAATGAGGCCATCTTTGTAAACTATGTGTCAATGTGAGTGAATGGCACAGAATACATACTCAATAATGCTAACTATTAATAATATTATGACAATCCTTCTTTCCATTGAATTTTCTCTGCCTGGAGCTTTCCATTCATACCCAGCAATTAAAAGCTGGATTGTGGCACTTGCTAACTGCCCCAAATGAAGAGCATGTGGCTTATTCAGGGAAAATCATGGACACTCTTGAGGAAAAGGTGAGAAGAGTTTAGAAAGAGGTGGCCATTATAGTCTCAGGGCACATTGGAAAGTGTATTTTGCTGTGTAATTTGCTGGAGTTTCCAGCTGGATGTGTATAAAGTCAGCCTCTGACCGCAGAAATTGTCAGGCAGATTATAGGATTTATTCAATAAAAATCAGTTGTCCTCCAAGCCTAAGTAGGGATGTAGGTACATTTACGACTTGTAATAGGAAATAAAATTCAGGGGAAAGATCCAAATGAAGGATGCAACTAGACAGAAGTATATTTGTGTTCTAAGGCCTTTGGTTGCAGCTGCAGCACTTTAAAAAGATTCTTACTGAGGTGACTACATCTGGTGATGCCCACGATTCTGCTATTTCTGAGCACACTTGACCAAGTCAGAGGTGGATTGTCTCTTTTCAACTATTGGGACTCAGAGTACTGTACAAAATAAATGTTCTCAACTCAATAAGCACCTAAATGAAAAAAGTTGCAAAGTATAATAAACATAATGAATGCAGCAAAATCTAAATACTTCCCAAAGGAGAGGGAATACTTTACAAGTATGAAGAGTAGTGAACTTAGGTAGTAATCAGTACCCAAAACTCCAGAGACTACTGGGGCTAGAGATTCACATGCCACCCAACTGGGAATGATTTTCTTTGCACAGTGCTCTCCTCAGGGCCCCCTTGACCTCTGCACTCCTCAGGCTATAGATCAGGGGGTTCAGCATGGGGTTGAAAAAGCTGTAAAACAAGAAAAGGATCTTCTGCTGCTCCTCAGGATGGCGGGACTTGGGGGCCATGTACATGACGATGGCGCTGCCAAAGAAGAGCCCCACCACACAGAGGTGGGAGGAGCAGGTGGAGAAGGCCTTCCTGCGGCCCTCCACTGACCGGATACTCAGGATGGCCAGCAGGATGTGTGAGTAGGAGCCCAGCACCAGGCAGAGGGGCCCCACCAGGATGAACACACAGGCAGCGAAGATGACCACTTGGTTGAGCCTGGTGTCAGCACAGGCCAGCTTGAGGACAGACAGGATCTCACAGAAGAAGTGGTTGATTTCATGAGGCCCACAGAAGGGCAGCCTCAGGATGAGGACCACATGGACCAGGGCCAGGAGGGAGCCACATGTCCAGGAAGTGATGGCCAGCACAGCACACATTTTCCAGCTTATGATGGCAGAGTATCGGAGGGGGTGGCAGATGGCCACATACCGGTCATAGGACATCACCACCAAGAGAAGACATTCAGTATGTCCAAGACTCAAAAAGAAAAAAGTCTGCGTCATGCAGCCAGCAAAGGAGATGGGCTTGGCTGGATCCAGGAGGTTCACCAGCATCTGGGGCACTGTGTTGCAGGCATAGGCAATGTCGACGACGGCCAGGTGTGAGAGGAAGAAGTACATGGGGGTGTGCAGTCTGGAGTCCAGGGAGATGAGCCCCAGGATGACCCCATTCCCCAGTAGGGTAGAGGTGTAGAATAGAGAGAAAAATCCAAAAAGGACCATGTGTATCCTTGGGCCAAGGCAGAATCCCAGTAGGATGAAATCTGTGACTGTTGTTTGGTTTTTCCCCATTTCACTGTGAACAAGAAATGGATACCTTAAGATAGTATTGTCTTTTTTTTTTTTTTTTGAGACAGAGCCTCAAGCTGTCCCCCTGGGCAGAGTGTCATGGCATCGCAGCTCACAGCAAACTCCAACTCCTGGACTCAAACAAGACTCCTGCCTCAGCCTCCCAAGTAGCTAGGACCACAGGCGCCCGCCACAATGCCTGGCCATCTTTTGGTTGCAGCCGTCATTGTTGTTTGGCGGGCCCGGGCTGGATTCAAACTCGCCACCCTAGGTGTATGTGGCTGGCGCCCTAGCCACTTGAGCCACAGGCGCCGAGCCAAGATAGTATTGTCAACAAATATCTAGACATTATTATATATTATTTTATAAGTTCAGTCATTAATGATTTAGTTACATATTGAGTTAACTACTGATTTTAAACATCCCGTATTATGAAGGGACTGAGTGTTAGATTAGGGTACATAGAGCCTTGATACTCGTGATGGGAAGGAAAGAATGTCAAGACAAAACAGGAAGTAAAAGTGTAGAAGTCGTCAGTAATGGAAGGACTCCCAATTTCAGAATTAGACTAGTTCCAGAAAAAGAAAGGTCATTTCAGTTTCTCAATGGAAATATTAACTGTGTTGCTTTCAACGTCTGAAATCAACCTTTGCTCTCTGGAGAAGTTTACATGATAACAAGAGGGGCTCAAAGATAAAAAGCAGCTTTTATGATAGTGTGATTGTTTAGGTTCCTAGGAAAGAATCGATGGATGTGCTGCACGTGGGCTCCCGCCATTATCTTTCTTTTACAATGGATGGTGAATATAAAATGATAATTACATTTGGCAATTAATCTACTGATTCATTCATGGTCACTGATTTACAGAATCAGTAACCATGAATAGCAACCCATGCAATTTGCAGGAAATGGATTTTTTCAGGTCTGTCCACTGTTCCATGTTGTGAGTCTACACTTGGCAGGGTTGTAATGAGGATGAAGTCAGGCATTTGTGCACTGATTTGAAGGCTGTGTGTGTGTGTGTATAGATGCATGTGAAAACATCCAATGTGGTTCCTCCCGAATGACTTGTGACTCATCCCTTCTCTACTGCTATCAAAAGAGCAGATCCTCAAGCTGATAGAAGTAGGGAAGCTCAGCGCCAGTGTGCTGGAAGACCCACTGTCTGTGCCAGGCTTCACGTTGTATCATACATGACAACCCAAAACATAAGAAACAACTATTCAGTAAAAAAACCCTCTTCTTTGTTTCATCAACATAAGAATTACTACATACTTTGCATACGGCTAATTAAAAGATTTTTGGCAAAGAATGAATTTAGTGAATTTGTCATTTTATAAATTACTGTTGCAGTACATTGTTAGTCAGGAAATTGGTCTTTTTGTGAATTGGTGATATGCCAAATAGTATTTGGATTTTTGTACTTATGACCTAGATAACATCTTGTTAAATATACCATGTAGAAATCCAACATTTTGCTAGTGCAAACATTTTTGTTAGTGTCTTTGCTAGGCAAAAGTAAACTAGGGCTAAATTGTTGAACTTGTGCCTGTTTGCCTCCGAATAAAAACATCTTCTCCAGGACTAATGCAAGGGAAGGTGCTGCTTTTGACAAGACCCTGGCCCAGTTGTCATTGATACCAGGGGAGACATCCGTGAGGTGCTCCCTGAAGAACTTGGAGATAAGAAAATCATTACTGCCTTTGGGAAGCAATATTTGTAAAATGCACTCATACTGGATGAGAAGGACTGGAGCAGGAGAACAGGACACATGAGGACAGGGCATCTGACAGTGCTTTTGATGTCATTTCACAGAGGCAGGGGAGGAGGAAGTGACTTTGTCAGGAAACTGAAATGGAGTCGGCCATGTGGGGTACTTGCCTCAAGAAAGACTAAGGAACAAATAAGGGAGGTGACCTGTGAGAGCAGAGGTTGCCAGCACGTCCTCACACTGTCCAGGGGAGTCTGCCTCTTGGCATGAAGGTGCCGTCCTCCTCCAGGCGGGTCCATAGGTGCAGCCCAGCTAGCCTGAGTGATCAGTGAAGGATAAACCTAGTCAACAGGCTCTTCTCGTGACCCTCTCTGCCCTGACCTCATGTTCCAATCAGCCTTTAGGATTATTGTGCTTTGTCGTGCAGATATTTTATCAAAGAAGAAATGTGCTGATCAGCAAAAATTTTGGACAGTTTTGCAGTTACATTTTTAAAGTAAATCAATTCTATTCAGGCTTATTCATTGTTTCTTTAGTTTGGATAGTTATGATACAATTGATAAATGTGGGTAGTGAAAAAAAATTTCCAAGGATGGATCTAATTACCGAGGGCCAGGCCCCGGGCTGAGACAAACTTGTGGAATTACAATCCAAAGAAGGCTTTTCTGAGCCTCTAATTCAGTAGTTTTCAGCTGATGTACCGGGGCATACTCATGTGCTGTAAGAGGATCTTAGGTGTGCCATGGAAATTTTTAAAGATTATAATTAAATTATTTTTCAAAGCACAGTAAGTATATTCTTTTTTTTACTCTTTTTTTGATTAACATAATTTAAGTGTGCCACCAAAGTTTCACTATAGGTTCAGGTGTGTGGTGAAATAAAAAAAGGTTGTAAAACACTGCTCTAAGCAGAACCCTGAAGGACATCCCCACTGGATCCTTTTCTACTGGCAACAAATGATTGTTTAGTTATATGTATTGTTAATAAGTTATTATATTAGCAGGACACAAATGAATTCTAGTGACTATTGTAAGTTCATTACACAAGACCAAGGTGCATATGTTTTTTTTTCAGAATTCTACAAAAAATTACTATGCTAGACCAACTTAATTTATGAACATAAAAATATATGGTTGTACAAATTCGTTTGAATTTACATTTTACAGAAATTTTAATGTCTTTATTTAGTCCTTGGTTATTTCCTTTTGTAACTTTCCAGATGCTTACATAAAGGGAACAAAAAATACTGTTTATGAATCTCTTTAAAAGCTAAATGGAGAAATAGGAAGAAAGGAGGGCTTAATGAATACACTATGGATCTTTAAGGACAATTGCCATTTGGGTTGAAAGTCTGTTTTGTTTGTTTTTACTGGACTGTATTGTTACCATACTCCTTGTGAACCAGGACTTGGTGTGCTCATTTTTGTAATGATGACGTTTAATAAATGTACAAATAAATGAATCAATAAATGCAAATGAGTGAATGCCTTCCTAATGATTATTTTTCAGACCATCTTTGGTCTGCATCTGAAATTTCTGGCTTGCTTAAGTTTTATTCCATTAAGGACATTTCTCTTAAGCCAAAAACAAAACAAAACAGACTTTGTGAAGTTTGACAAAAACAACTGTAGAATTTCCAAAAAGTTTAAACATTTAATACTTGAAAGACACTTCTATTTCTTCTTCCCTCCATATTTTATTGTATTTCATTCTGCATGATACTAAGAACATCTTACTAAAACTCAAAGGACTAAAGTTGCCCAAAGATTATAAGAGGTAAAATGAAAGACTAAAAAACAAATTAAATGTAACCCAGTTCCAAATGTAACATTCAGGCATTGCTTATGTTTTAAATGATATACTTTAAACGTACTTACTTACAAGTTAGTCATTTAGAATCCTGGCAGATTATTTGATGACTAATACATTATCCAATGTCTCCATGGTTTTTCAGTAAATATCTAAGACTGAAATCATGTCTTCACACATGCACAAACCTGTCAGTACTAGATAGTACCTGTGTTTCAAAAGGTAAAACTTAAGATCTAATGAGCTCACAAACTTTTTCTAATGAGTCACATAGCATTCCTAAAATGAAAGCTATTTTTAAATCCCCAGTTCATCTGAAGTATTAGATGGTTTACTTCAAAGTAATAGGAAATATTGTTACAGCTAACAGAACTAGAATGCTCTTCTGTCTGTCTTTGATGGCCGCGTCTCCCGCCTATGGTTCATTACCATACCACCATCTCTATCCTGACACATCTGTCCTTCTCGGGACCTCTTTTCTGATATCCTCTAAGCATTCCCAATTTCCATTCTCTCCAACAATTTCCCGTTCTCAAACTCTCTCTTTCCTACCTCCTCAATATACATCTCCACAATATTTCTAGAGATTTGTCAACAGTTCCAACGTTTGAGTGGTTTCCTAGAGGAATTTGATTAAACAGGAGGTTTGTATTCAGGGTCTCTGTCTAAGCAACCGTGGAAAATACAATCCTACAATTTATAATAGTAGTAATATTTGCCACTCACCTATCTGGGACATTGAAACATTCCCTCTTGACTACTTACTAGCCAAGAAGAACTATCTGATTTTACTTCAAAATTAATTTTCTCAGGAATTGTGTTTAACATCTACCCTTAGATTGAGGAAATATTTCTGATCTAGTAAATAATAAAAAATGCTATCCTTAGAATTTTTGCCATAAGTATAAAAAGAAAAAAAATGATACATTTGACCATACTTTGTTCCTAGAACATGGTAGGCGTTCAATCAATATGTATTGCCTGACTGGATACTGACTTGATTAAATATCAGGGAACAAAACATTCATGAGCTCTCCACATTCTGCTGTGAACCAGTTTTTCTGGCACGGAGAGCAGTGAAGGGCACCACAAAGTAGCAATTAGGAGCATGGGCTGATTGGCAGGCTGCACCCACATTTATTAATTGTATGACCTTGAGTTATTTCTTTACCTCTCTAAGCCTCAGTTTCCTCTTATGCAAAAGGAGAAAAATAATAGTGCCTATTTTATGGGGTTGTTGTGAAATTAATTGAGGTAACGATTTACACAGTGAGCGCATCCTTGGTCCACAGTGAGTACTCGGTCACTAGGATTCTTGATTATCCATCTTTAACAGCTTCTTAGAGAGCCTATGACCCTATGCGCCTGACAAGCGCTGCCTCTTCATGATTCTCAGTAGTCCCTGAAGATCATTCACTTTATTGGCCATTATCTTCCAAAAGTGGATTTTTTAGCCTTGATTATAACAGGATAAGTCAACAGAGTGATTTTGGGG